AGGTACCGTTTCACTCTGAGATAACCATTTTCACTGTCCACTACACCTCCGATTTCTGTGTAATCTGAAATTACATCCCTGCTATGTTCAGATCAAAATAATTTATATAAATGACAAAAACCAATGGATCCCGCACCGATCCTTGTGGCATATCACTGGTCACAGGCCTCCAGTCTGAAAAGCAACACTCCACCACCTCACTCTCTCTTCTACCTTTCAGCAATTCTGTATCCAAATAGTCAGTTCTCCCTGTATTCCGTGTTATCTTACCTTGTTAACCAGTCTACCACGAGGAACCTTGTCAAACGTCTTAATGAAGTCCATATAGACCACATCCACTGCTTTGGCCTCATCAATCCTCTTCATTACTTCTCCAAAAAGTTCAATCAAGTTAGTGAGACATGATTTCCCACGCACAAAGCCATGCTGACTATTCCAAATCCATCCTTATCTTTCCAAATATATGTAAATCCTGTTCCTCAGGATTCCCTCCAACAACTTGCCCATCACTGATGTCAAGCTCACAACTCTACAGATCCCTGGCTTTTCCTGAACATCTCTTTCAAATAGTGACATAACTTCAGCCAGTCTCCAGTTTTCCGGCACCTCACCTGCGCCTACTGATGATATAACTATCTCTACAAGAGACCCAGCAATCTCTTCCCTCGCTTCCCGCAGAGCTCTCAGGTACACCGGATCGGGTGCAGGATTTAGCCACCTTTATGCATTTTAAGACGCTCAGCACGTCCTGCTCTGTAAAATGGACATTTTTTTTTCATGATGTTGTTATTTATTTCCCAACGTTCTCTGTCTTCCATTTCCTCCTCCACAGAAATCACAGATGCAAAATGCAATCTCCCTCAACATCTGCGGCTCCACACACACTTTTGTATAATGTTTCTATTTAACAATATGCATGAATGAACTAGACATTTTAGAAAATGTACAGTTGGGGAAAAATGAAGATCGTGTGGGATTTAGCAGTGTTATCATCTATGAAAACGATAGTGTGATATTTTAAAGTGTCATAGAGTCTTCGAGCATGGAAACAGACCCTTTGGTCCATCCCCAACATGCCGACCAGATTTGACATTCTCAACTGCATTTTTCGAAAGCTTTCCAATCATGTCCAAATGGCTTTCAAATGTAGCACCTGTACCTGCACCTACCACTTATTCTGGAAGTTTATTCCACAAATTAAAAAAAAAACTGTGTGTGAAAGAAAATACCCCTCAGGTCCCTTACAAATCTTTCTCCTCTTAACTTAAACTTATCCCTTCTAGCTTGGAACACCCCGACACTAGGGGAAAAAAATAACCTTTGCTATTCACCTTATTTATGCTCCTCATGTATTTATAAACCTCTATAAGGTCACCCTTCAACTATCTAACCTCCAGTGTAAAAGAGTCCCAGCCTGTCCAGCCTCTCCTTATAATTCAAATGCTCCAGTCTCGGTAACGTTCTTGTAAATCTGTTCTGCACCCTTTCTAATTCAGTAATTTCATGCCTATAGCAGGACGACCAGACCTGTATGCGGTACTCCAAAACTGGCCTCGCTAATGACCTGTACAAAGGCAACATGACGTCCCATCTCTTATAATCAACACTCTGACCAACGAAGACAAGTGTGCCAAACGCCTTCTTTACCATCCTATCTACCTGTGATGCAACTTACAAAGTTATATGCACATTAACAACTATCACAACTGCACATCTAAACGCTTATTACTTTTTGTAGGGGTTTCTGCCTCTGTCACCGTTACAGACAGTAAGTTCAAAATTCCCACAACCTTGTGTGAAAATGTTTTCTCTCACAATTCCTCAAAACATATTGCTTCTTCTATAAATCTGCCTCCTCAGAAATTGTTCATTCCAACAATGAAAAAAAAGTTTCTTCCTGGGTACCCCGTTTATGTGCCTCATAATTTTATACATTGAATCACGTCCCCTTGCAATCTCTTCTGTTGTAAGGAAAACAGCCCCATCTGCCCAATTTCTCTTCATGACTGACACTCTCGAGATAAATCTTCAGTCATCCTCCTGTAAAATTCTCCCAATAATGTGGCTTCTAGTACTGTAGTACTAGACAGTACTGTAATAATGGCCTAACCAACGTGTTTTACAGTTGCAGCATACCCTCCCTGATCTTAATCTCTATGTCTTGGCTAACGAAGGCAAGAATCATTGCACTTTTGGGGAACCGAAACCTTGGCGAGCCAAAACTCAGTGGAACGCATCTTCCCCAGTTTTTCTGGATTACTTTCCCAGTGCCATTAACAAAAATAAAATCTATCTCTACGGCATAATGTTAGAATAATGCTCACGCATTTAAGGCAGAGATGAGGAGTTCTGTTTTTGCTCAGAAAGAAGTGAAGCTGTGGATTTTTTTCAAATGTAGAGTGTTGTCAAGGCTGTGTTGTGAAATATTTTTAAAGGAGACATATTCAGATTTTTAATCATGGGTTATGTAGAAAATAAAAATAGGAAAGTGTAATTGTGGACAATCTACCAGCCATGATCGAAGTAAATGGCAGAAGGACCATTAATAGGAAAAGGGATCAATTCTACTTCTAATCCTTATATTAAGGTTTTCCGTATAAATATGCAATTCAGTTCAGTGCATTCACAACTTGTTATTTATATCTCTAACTCTGAAAGTTTGTTGTCACAATTCTGTTTTTTTTTAGTTTGAGTGGGAATTCAGATGAGCATGAAATTTCGTCAACGCAACTGTTCCCATTTCCCGTCAAGGTAGCCCAAGAACTGCATTTGGTTTACCTACTGTTCGGATCTATTTGATTTGAAATCAGTTGAATCCACGTCTGGAAACTTTCAAGACAATTCTGACTTAATACAGAAAAAACGATTCCTCTTTGATTTGTTTATACATTGTGCCTGGAATTTGATCTGCGCTGAAATCCGTAGAGAACGTTGCTCAATTTTGAAGCTGGCAGAGCTTCCCTCGTGGGGTGACGATTGCACTCTGAGTGGAGGATGTCAGTTATACAGCCATTCCAAGTGAGTAACTTGAAACGGATCGGATAACTTACCTTAAATTTTTTATTTAAAAAATAACTGCCGTTTTCGTAGGATAATTTGCGGTGGAGAGATTACTTTTCTGCATGCACTGTGTCTGCCCTTGTCTACTTTGTGGATCTGTGCGCAAGACAGTGACTAGTGAACTTAACTGGACAGATACACTGTCTCTTTTCTGATAGGACGTGCTGGCATCTCATCTTAGTCTCTCAGACATAGGAGTACGACTCCAATAGTGCAGTATTCCTCCAGTGCAGACATTGAAAACATCTTGAAGATGGAATTCATATCCCTACTTTGGGCCATTACGTTATGATATGATGCGCAGTAAGCTTCATGGTGGCCCCCTCAGCGAGAGCTAACACAGAAAAAGGAAAAGAGCTCCTTCAAAAACCAAACGAGTGTGAGAAATTCACATATTGCTGGAACAGTGCATGAACATATAATATATCATTCATCTTCATTAAATCAGTTTCAATTGAACTCGTTTAATTTGTTTTTTTTTAAGTTTTTGGTTAAGATGAAGGCTAATATAAAGAGCAGCACTCAAAATAACAGAACCATTGATATGTTATTAATTTGTAACATCCTTTTTTTAATCGGGGACGGCACATTTCCTTTTACTGCGTTATCAAACCAAATGCCCTTTCGAGGGTCAATTCTTTGCATGCAGTTAATGCGTAAACAGGAAACCCACAAATATAATTTGCATCACGTTACATTTTCCACACGTCTTCTTTTTCTGATAACGTAGCAATTGCTTAAACGATATCTTACACAAATGTTCTGTTCTGGATCATGCAAACAATAAAACAGAAAAACAAAACCTCAGTGTGAAATTTGAAGTAATAAGTTCATCGCAGACAATGATCCTCTTGGCTCTGCTTGCGCTTTTTCATTTGTTGCCAGGTAAGATTATCTTTCATAAATTTATGGCTTAATTATGAATGTAAGATCACTTAAAAGATGATTCATGCGGCAAGTTCAATCTGGCAGTCTTTAATATTAATGTTGCGTTAAAAATTTGAGTTATTATTGGTCTATTACAAAAGGCCAATGTTCTAATATAGCAGGCACGTTTGGAATCGAGCAAGGGAACTCACTACTCCGCCCAAAGACAAACACATCCTTCAGTACAATCACAAAACAACAGATTTGCTGATTCTTTTGTCTTCATTTTATTTGTGGGATCTTGCAGTGTGAACAGGGGACCACCACTTTTCCAAGAATACAAGATGAACTACACAGAAGACAGTTTTCATTGTCTGAAAGGTTTTGATCTATATTTTTTCTTAATTTCCTACTACACAAGAAATTAATGTAATACATCCTGTTCTTCAGTTGTTGTCTCTCAGGCAGTGTACCCGCAGACTCCAACAGTTCAAACTGCCTCAATTGGAAGTAAATGTAAGATGCATTGCCACACGGGATGGCTGGCAGCTGGAGCTGTTCTCTGGTATAAACACCAGCAACAAAAACACATGCAACTCGTTTTCACCGTTATAAAACATACGCGTCCAAACGGAAAATTTTCAGGAGAGGTTAACGAAGAAGGGACTATCTATACTCTTGTTATTGACGATACGCAAAGAAATGACTCAGGCATGTACTACTGCGCTGCTAAGAAATTTAGTGGATCATCCTTCATATTTGGAAATGGATCTGAATTATTCATTGTCGGTAAGAATGAATGTCGTTGCTTATCAGTTCACAGTAAATACCCACATACTTATGTTAGATTTTAAATACATCTTACCTACAAAACTCTGCAGGTTCCCCGACAATAACACTCTTACACTCACCATCAGATGAAATTCTTTCACTGCAAACTGTCCCATTGATATGCTTCGTGAGCAGTGCAGCCACTAATTACCTTACCATTCGCTGGAATGTTTCATCACGGGCTAAGGAGGAATGGACTGATACAGAAACAATAATCCGTGATGGTGTATACGGTGTCAGCAGTCAAATCGGAGTCGAAGTAAACAAGCATAGCAACTGGTTTGTTTGTACTTGCTCAATTCAAATCAACTCAACAACAAGTCTTATCAGTGAAAACTATTCATACCGGACAGGTAACGATTTATATTGTTAGTATATTTTATATTTAATTCTGATGAGACACCGAGTGTTTGTATCAGCTGTTTATTTACCATAAATCGTTTCCTTTCAATGTTTCTGATCAACTATCACCTCATTTATTTTCTCGCCTTGCTGTAGCGTTTATCTTTATTTCTGAATAGGTAGATCCATTTATCTATCTAGGAAATACGTGCACAGTTGGAGGCAAGTCTATACTTTCAAATATTAAATTAGAATTTATCTTCACATTTGTTCACCTTTCACCTATGTAGCTTTGACTATGACAATGTATCTATAAATCTGAAACAAAGGATTTCAATGAAGAGATCAATTCTGGTGTTTCTGTTCTGTCATATTTCCAAAAAATATGGTATCATTATCTCCCCGATCAACAAGTACTTTTTTCTATTATTTTCTTTTTTATCCATTTGTATTACTTGTTGGTGCATCAGTGCTCGTTATTGTAATTAATGTTCGTTCTAGACACTTGGGCATGTTAAGCACAATCTGTGCAAAGGCATTTTCTGCCAAGATCCCTAATGGTCCCCTTTGTAACTGATGTAAATGCATTGAAGATCTGGATTTGGGCAGATTCAGATGTGGAAAGGCCTTTCTTCATTAGTTCCGATTCAATTCACTCTACTGACCCTGGCAACATTCTGGCAATAGTATTGACTAATTGTGCTCCAGAACTTGCCACTCCCCTCGCCAAGCTGTACCAATACATTTGCAACACTGGTATCTACCCGGCAATGTGGAAAATTGCTCAAGTATGTCCTGTACACAAGAAGCAGGGCAAATCCAGTCCAGCCAATTGCTGCCCCACCAGTCTAGTCTCAATCAACAGTAAAGTGATGGAAAATGTCATCAATAGTACTATCAAGCAGCACCTGCTCAGCAATAACCTGCTCAGTGATGCCCAGTTTGGGTTCCAACAGGGCTACTCAGCACCTGACCTCATTGCAGCCTTGGTTCAAACATGGACAAATGAACTAAATTCCACAGGTGAGGTGAGAGTGACAGCCCTTGGCATCAAGGCTGCGATCGACTGAGTGTGGCATCAAGGAACCCTAGCCAAACTGGAAACAATGGGCATCAGGGGGCAAAATAGGTTTGGAGTCATAACTGACACATAGGAAAGATAGTTGTAGTTGTTGAAGATCAATCATCTCGGCTCCAGGACAAGTCTGTAGGAGTTCCTCAGTGCAGTACCCTCGGCCCAACCATCTTCAGCTGCTTCATCAATGAACTTCCCTCTATCATGAGGTCAGAAGTGGGGATGTTCGCTGATGTTTGCACAATGTTCGGCACCATTCGTGACTCCTCAGATACTGAAGCAGTCCGTGTTCAAATGCAACAAGATCTGGACAATATGTAGCCTTTGGCTGACAAGTGGCAAGTGACATCCACGTCACAAAAATGCCAGTGTATGACCATCACCAATTAGAAACAATCTAACCACCACCGCTTGATATTCAATGGTGTTACCATCACTGAATTCCCCACTATCAACATCCTGGGGGGTTATCATTGCCTAGAAACTCAACTAGACTCACCACATATACACAGGGACTATCAGACAAGGTCAGAAGCTAGGAATACTGTGGTGAGTAACTCACCTCCTTATTCCTCAAAGCCTGTCCGCTATCTACAAGGCACAAATCAGGAGTGTGATGGAATACTCCTTACTTGCCTGGATGAATGCAGCCCCAACAACACTCAAGAAGGTTGATAGCTTCCAGAACAAAACAGTCCGCTGGATTGGCATTACATCCACAAGTATCCACTCATTCGACCATCCAAAGCTCAGTAGCAGTAGTGTGCACTATCTACAAGACGCACTGCAGAAATTTACCAAAGAACGTCAGATAGCACCTTCCAACCCCAGGGCCACTTCCATCTAGAAGTACAGGGCACCAAACGCATGTGAACACTACCATCTTCAAGTTCCCCTCCAAGCCACTCGAAATCCTTACTTGGAAAATATCACTGTTCCTAACTGTTGCTGGATCACGATCCTGGAAATCCCTCTAATGGCATTATAGGTCAGTCTATAACAGGTGGGCTGCAGCAGCTCAAGAAGGCAGTTCACCACCACCTTCTCAAGGGCAACTAGAGATGGGCAAGAAATGCTGGCAAGCCAGCGTCGCTCACATCCTACAAAGGCATAGAAAAAAAATATAATCTATAGGATTCTGCCAAAATCACAAAAAAAGTTTTCAATTCTGGGAAGAAAATAAAAATCCCAGTCTAACAATTGTTTTTATATGCAAAATATTTCATACCCATTGTCATCAAGTAAAACATTTTCCACATTCACGAGTGCATCTTTATCCATTATTAACATAAAAACTCGATATGATCATCGCACTTGTTGAGATTATTTCGAATAATCTACCAAAGGAGCCTCAAGTGCAGGTTTTGATCATTTAATCAAGGAAATTCAGTGAGAGCACATACTACTCTTAACCTAAAATAAAACCCGAGGAATGCAATAAAAGACAATATCTTTATGTAATCGTTTGTCACATGGAAATCTAATTAACCAATTTCTATCTTAATTCTGACATCTTTTATTGTCCCCATTTCTTATCACTGCCTTTCACTTCCCTGTCTACAGATGCATCTGATTCTACAGCACTTCTGAAATGTTTCAATCATGCCAATCTTTTATAGATTATTGTTGACACTGTCCCATAAGATGGGAAAAAAATCATGTAGGACAAGTACAGTTCAGGTAGTGTAATTGAAGTCTGATCATCTTTTTCGTTTCTCTTTAGAGTTGTCAATTTTACTGACTGTAACAATCAGGCAATTAGCTTTTTCTTTAGGCCCGTGGATAGCCAATGTGATGGTGTTATCTTTTTACTTAACATTCGATCATTTGTCGGTACTGGCCTGATATTCAGTTTAAGATCCTAACGTTTCTGGCTCCAATTATTCTGTTCTGCGACTCAGATTATCAAGGGATATTCATTTATCTCCTCATCATTTCCCCACATTCTCTCTGTACATCTTGATGCTTTGAATATTTAAAAGAAAGCCTCTTTATGAAACATTCTTACTGATCCAGCTTTCACAGTCTTCTATGGTAGAGAACTGAACATTTTGGCCAACTTATAGAAGAAATGCTTCCTCATCTCAGCCGTAAATATCCTTTAGCCTAATCATGGACTTTGAGTACTGTTGTAGATTTAAACAAACAGGAGAAGCACCCTTACTTCATCTAGTCTGCCTAGGGCTCATAGACTTCTTTATATTTCATTCAGAGCACTGTCATTCTTCTCAACTTAGTCAATACAGTCTCGGCCTGAATAATCTCTCCATGTGTGACATTACTACCCACTCCAGTATCACTCCATGTCTCTATGGCAAGTATATCATTTCCCAATGAAGGAGAGTATATCCTCCACACAATAATCAGGGTACATTACGAACAAAGAGCAGGATTGGCTTTTCCCGTATCAGAACACGTCACCTGTTAATACAATGTTTTCTACTATCCATGTATGCGACATGAGTTTTGTTTCCTGCACATAAAGTCTCAAGTGTGATGTTAAATTCAATCTTGCCTATTCTATTCTGACTTTCAAATGTGTGTAAAATGCTAGGGTGACTTATATTTTACATCCATCTAATGCAGCACTAAGAATACTAGGTAATGTAAAGTAAACACAGCCCTAGAGGAAAATAGAGCTGCTCTCTTATAGAGAGAGATTACTGGTGGTTGTTAAGCATGGCAGTCATCACAACTTAGTCGATGGAGAATTTGAGAAGATGGGACATTCATGGTAACCTCAGCCAATACGGAAATTCAGCTGTCTAGGCAATTAAGCTACCCACTGTCCGGGATAATTTGAATATACTAACTCGACGAAAATTAACAAAGAACTGACAACTCAGCCGGAAGAGGGCAGCAGAGTGGTGACGTTGGTTGGCTGACCTTGGGAAGATCTGCACCAGTGCAGTCACTGCTTCCGGAAATTGGTTTGTGGGTAATTCCCAATGATCTTCCCAACAACCCCATCCCCGCAGCTCCTTCTGTAGGTAGTCCTATGAAGAAAGGAGCCATACTGGAACTAGCCCGGGGAATGAGCCCGGACAGATGGTCGACGTTTCAGTAGGGGAGCCGCTCAGGAAGAGTGATCACAATTCACTAACCTTTAAGGTACTGATGGATAAAGATAGGTACAGTTGTGAGGTGAAGTTGCTAAATTGGGGGAAGGCTAATTACAACAATATTAGACAGGAACTGAAGAATGTAGATTGGTGGCAGATGTTTGAGGGCAAATCAAAATCCAGTATGTGGGAGGCTTTCAAGTGTAAGTTGTGAGGAACTCAGGAACAGCACGTTTCTGTAAGGATGAAGGTTAACTATGGAACTTTTAGGTAACCTTGGATAACAAGAGATATTGTGAGCCTAATCAAAAAGAAAAAGGATGCATTTATCAAGGCTAGGAGGCTGGGAACACACAAAGCAAGGGTGGAATACAAGGAAAGTCAGGAGAAACTTAAGCAAGGAGTGAGAAGGGTTAAAAGGGGTCATGAAAAGTCATTGGCCAACAGGATTAAGGAAAACCCCAAGGCTTTTTATACATATATAAAGAGCAAAAGGTTAACCATGAAGAGGTATGGTGGACTCAAGGACAAGGAAGGGGATTTATGTGTGGAGCCAGAAAAAAAGGGCGATGTATTAAATGAATACTTTGTGTCAGTATTCACCAAAGAGAAGGACTTGGTGGATGATAAGTTTGGGGATTCGTGGGTAGATAGTTTGGGTCATGTTGAGATCAAAAGGGAGGAGGTGTTGGGCGTCTTGAAAAAAACGTTGATGTAGACAAGTTCCCAGGGCCTGATGGAATATACCCCAAAATACTGAAAGAGGCCAGGGTGGAAATTTCTGGGGCCTTGAGGGAAATCTTTGTATCCTGATTGGCTGCAGGGGAGGTCTCAGAGGATTGGAGAAGAGCTGATGTCGTTCCTTTGTTTAATA